GTGAGACTCACCGGCCTGTAGTTCCCCGGGTCCTCCCTGCTCCCCTTCTTGTATATGGGAGTGACGTGACCCTTCCTCCAGTCATCCGGGACCTCACCTGACAGCCACGACTTCTCAAATATGATGGAGAGCGGCTCGGCAACCACCTCAGCCAGCTCCTTCAGGACCCTGGGATGCAAGCCATCCGGCCCCATAGACTTGAATTCATTCAGTCTAAGGAGGCACTCTCGGACTTGCTCTGCCCTTACAGTGGGGAGGGATTTACCTCCTTGGTCCCCACATAGAGGTTTGGGGATGCAGGGTTCAGGGACGTGAAAAAGACTAGAATCCTGGCCACCAGTGAAGACCGAGGTGAAGAACTCATTCAGCACCTCAGCTTTCTCTTCATCTGTTGAAGCCAGTTCTCCTTTTAAATTTACCAAAGTAGGTACGCCCGTTTTGGCCTGTCTCTTCTGGCCAATGTACCTGTAGAAGGTTTTCTTATTGTTTTTCACGTCCCTTGCCAAGTTCAGTTCTGCCTGCGCCTTGGCTTCCCTGATCCCACGTCTGCAAGTCCGGACGGCATTCCTGTATTCTTCCCAGGTGACACAGCCTTGTTTCCAGAGCTTGTACACCCCTTTCTTCGCCCTCAGTTCTCTCAGCAGGTCCTTGCTGAGCCATGCTGGTTTCCTACCTCGCCTGCCCACTTTCTTATTCAGAGGAATGGAGACCTCTTGTGCTTCCAGGAGGGCATCTTTGAAGAGCCGCCAGCTCTCCTCAACATCCTTGTCTTTGAGGGCAGCGCGCCAGGGGATCTTGGCCAGCAATCCATTGAGTAGTTTGAAGTTTGCTTTTCTAAAGTTTAGTGTCCTGATCCTGCTCTTTGCCAGGCCCACATCGCTTGAGATCACAAACTCAACCAGGGCGTGGTCGCTGGAGCCCAGGCAGCCTCCGACCTTGACGCCTTTGATGATCTCCTCAGCGTTGGTGAGCAGCAGGTCTAGCAACGCTTCACCTCTGGTCGGTCTGTCCAATACCTGAACCAGAAAGCTGTCGTCAATGGATTCCAAGAGCCTTCTGGAGCTCTTGCAGCTCGCCGTGTGGTTTTTCCAGCAGATGTCCGGATGGTTGAAGTCCCCCACCAGGACAAGAGCCCGTGAGCCAGACATCTCACGCATCTGGAGCAAGAAAGCCTCGTCAACAGCCTCCCCTTGATCAGGTGGTCTGTAGTATACCCCTAACACCAGCTGACCTATATTAGTCCCATCTCTAATCCTAACCCACAGGCTCTCAACCTGTTCCTGACTGTTTCTCGTAGGGAGCTCCTCACAGTTTATCCAATCCCTGACATAGAGAGCAACTCCCCCACCCCTCCTACCTCGCCTATCTCTCCTAAAGAGTCTATAGCCGTCAATGGCAGTATCCCAATTGTGGGAGTCATCCCACCATGTTTCTGTGATAGCGACAAGGTCATAACTTTCCGAGTGCATCACAGTTTCCAGTTCCTCCTGCTTGTTACTCAGGCTGCGTGCATTGGTATAAAGGCACTTCAGCCGGGCTATCCGTCTCGCCACCTTTATATGGGATCTAGGATCCCCTAGAACAGCAGCATCCCCAGCATCCCCCTGCCCTACTCCTTCCCTATGCACTCTGCCGTCATTGCCCATGGAGTTCGGTACAAGCCCTCGAATGACCCGTTCAACCCCAGTAGCCCTTATTTTGTCCCCTTCCCCCTTCATTCCTAGTTTAAAGACCTGTCAATGAGTCCTGCTAATTCTTCAGCTAAGATCCTCTTACCCCTCAGGGACAGGCTGCATGCATCAGCAGCCATCATGCCAGGTGCAGTGTAAATTGCCCCATGCTCAAAAAAGCCGAAATTCTTGCGCCTGCACCAGCTCTTAAGCCATCTATTGAAGAGTTGGGTATTTTGGATCCTCCCTGTACCTTTCCTTGACACCACGGGCATAGAAGAAAAGACCACTTGCACCCCAGCTCCTTCAAGTATACGCCCCATTCCCCTGAAGTCTTTCTTGATAGACCTCAGGCTTTCCTTTTCAACTTCCTCGCCGCCAGCCTGAATTATTAAAAGTGGGTAATAATCTGAAGGCCGAATCAACCCAGGAATTTTCTTTGAAATGTCCCTGACCCGTGCCCCAGGAAGGCAGCACACCTCTCTGCGGGTAGGGTCGGGCCGGCATATAGGGCCTTCTGTTCCTTGCAGAAGGGAGTCGCCTACGACAATCACCCTCCTGCCCTTACGGGTAGAAGCAGTCTTGAGGGTCGGGGGCGACCGCTTCGCCTGAGGCAACCTCACGGGTGAACCTGTCTCCGCACTCTCACTCGTCCCCCCCTCGACTTCCAGGGCCTCAAACCTGTTACGCAGAGGCACCTGGGGAGCCGGGGATGGTCGGGATGGGGGATGCTCCCTCCGCCGAGCAGGTACCCGTTTCCACTCCTCCTCCCTTCTCAAATTGCTGTTAGGGGGAATAGAGGACAGGGGGCTTGCTGAAACGCTGTCAGCTGGCTGGTTCCCCTTTGCCAGGTGTTTGTAAGGTGGCAGGGGCTGATGTGCTCCGTGAGGAGCCTCGTCTGTGTGCCGAGAACCTGAGGTTGAGAGGGACTGACACCACCAGTCAATCTCCCTCTCACACTCTTTTATAGTCCTCAGCCTCTCCACTTCCTCCTTCAGGCTAATCACAAGGCTGAGCAAGTCATTCAATTGCTCACACCTTGTACAAGTGCTGCCTCCTTCATGTGACATTGCAAAGGCCAGGCTGTGGCACTCCTCACAGCCAGTGACCTGCACACTAGCATCTCGTGATGGTAACTCTGTCTGAGTCGCCACACACTTCATACCGTTGTTCTCCCCTCTATGCATGCACCAGACCTCAGTCTGGTTCTGGACCGTCTTCTTGGCTACTGTCTTCCTGCTGCGTGTGCTCGGGACCTCTGCATGGGTCTTCACAGTTTTTGTGTTTGAAGCCTTCTGCCGGGGTGCACCCATGGCAACCAGCAGGCTCACTAACTCAACAAGAAAGTCCTAAAGGGGTGCAAGTAATCAGCCCTGCCCTGCTGCCCCCTACCCTCACACTATTGCTGGGTTCGCTAAGTGCCCTGGCACTTACCACCAATAGCAACAACAAGACTCCTTGCAGGGGAGTGCAGACAGGGGTACCTTACAAAAGCACCACGTTAAGGCAGCCTAGGAGATAGCTGTACTACCTCCTCTGCTGTGCCTCAGGTGGGTAGAGACACGTCGCTGCCCTCTCGAGGGCCTTTTTGAGATGAAATATTCATCTCACTCAACACATACACAGTTTCCGCTAATTCTAATGCAAATATTATTGCCAAGGTACACTGCATCTAATAAAAATGATGGGTAACAGAAAATTTTAGTCTAAACTGGAATATAGAAACATCCATGGTCTATAAACTGGCAATGCGGGGATCCAGTAATAGCACAATTTTACTTGCCTTACAGAAGAACACCATGTAACCAGAAATTGCATGCTTAAAACATAAGTTAAGGCTTTGCACTGTCTGGAAACAAGGCTTTGGGGAAGTGATGTGTAAAACACTGTCCTCTCTTCTTGCCTTGGAACCCAATAAAATCGAAACTCATCTACTGTATTTCAGCTGGGATTTTTCTGTCTGAATTTATTTATTTATCTATTTATTCAGGCCTGAGCCTCCATATTTCAGGTCATTTTTCATATTGAAACTATCAAAACCAGTAATGATTTGTCCCATATCTCACTCATTCTTTGTGCACTTAAAAGCTCTTAAAATTAAATTCTCCTTCTTTTCTGCTTTTAAATTTCCAGATTAAATATACCTATTCGTCATCCTATGAAGCTCTCCACTTTCAGTTGTCAACAATCTGCTCACCCTGTTAGACTTTCTCTCCCAGAGGGATTTTCTCTTTGACCAAATCCTATTTTCTGTTCAGCTGATCAGCAACATGCTCTACTTCTTCCTTCAAGGAATGCTAAAATACATTCTTGCAGATTTCGTAAGAATCTCTCCTTTATCAGTATACAGGATCAAGATAAAAAAATAGCAATAATAACCAAAGAAAACATATTTTTATTAGATTAAAACTGCGATACATATACCATCTGTTCTAGATTATGATATTATCAGTATATGTATTAAAACAGTTCTATACCTTTTCCTATATGATAAGCCTATTTACTTGTATTACTAGATAATGACAGAATGCCTCTGTTGCACTGGTTGTTATTTTTCAATTCCCTTTTCCAACCCTTATTGTCTCCTGTGAGCTTTTAATACATATTTGGAAAATTTCAATTCTCACTATTGTATTCTTGTAAACCCACTATTTACAATTGCTCTAACTATTCTTAAAACAGAAGTCTAAAAAACTGACATTTCTAAACACAGATGTCTTCTTTATCTTGTCACTGTCTCTCTATATATGTTAAATGCAAATTAAAAAGCCCATGTAGCGTATTTGGAGAAAAAGCAAATCAGGACTCCAAATCCAGATACAGACATGGTGCAGTATGATAAACTGTTTTGTAGACATATAAAGCTTCTAACTTGTACATATTTCAACAAGACAAAGCAAATTACAGATATATTTTACAATAATAAAAAATGGAGTGTGCACATGTAAAGGAAGAACAGCCCAGTTCCTGGCCCTAAATCTCCTGCAGTCTGATTTCAATTAGGAAAAGTTGAATGAAGCCTAATAGTATGAGTGACATAATTAAAGATGCAAGTTAAACAAAAAATATGTATAGTCACAAATTCAAATATAACCATAATCAATGTTTCAGGACTGTACCAAAACATAAAACTATTTTTATACTGCCTGTATGAGAACTGCTGAATCATGGCCTGAACCTCTGATCGATCACCCGAGGCGAGCAATGAGTCAGCCATGGGAGCAAAGGTGAAGGCAAATCACCTGTGCTGCTGGAAGGGGTGGCACCTGGCTCCACCTCTCCTAGACCCATTTAAGAGCTGACTACCAGTAGGAATGAATCTTTTCTGGAGATCCCTCCTCTGGAGTTTTGCAGTGAGCCTGGGATGTGGGTAAGCCTTCTATCTATTCTCTTTTTGTTATTATAATGTGGTTTGTTAAACTCTCTTGTTTATTTTGTAATTATAGCATCATTATATTATTTGACTATACATTGCCTAATATTAAAAAGTATTGCTTTGAGATAGTGAACTTGAAAAGTATTCTTGGAATATTTTATAGGAATGATATTTCAATGGGATTTATATTTAATATTTAAATGTACATGTATATTTACCAGCTTTTAGTATTCCAAGACCTTGTTTTTTATGCCACTCAGGCTGGAAACAACAACTACAACCATGCAGGCTATGAACAAACAGAAAACAAGGAGTTAAACACCGCTGGAAAGTGAGAAGGAAAAAAATGTATTCAGACTATCTTAATTCTAAAAAAAACATTTCTCACAGTTTAAATAGTAAAATGACAGTTCAGAGTCTAAATGGATATGAATAGCAAAACACTTGAATCACAGATATACAAGTTATATGCAGTTTTATAAGTTGCATTAGTTCACTGTCCTGTAGGGTTGATAGTGGAGTCAGAAGGAAGTCGAAGTGGGCCAGTGAATTTCTTTTTGTTTTTTCCTCTCTTAATGTTAATTTCAATGTCTTATTTTACTTCATGTTATTCTTATGAGCTGCTGCATCTTTTTCCTTTTGATTTATGGTCACTTTTTGATAATTACTGTTGCTAGCATTTTTTTTCTGTTTCCAACTAAAGAGGTGCTGCTTAGAGTTTCTGGAGAATCTGAATTTCATCAAGCCCTGGGAACACAATATTTAACTCCATACAGTGACTTAGCTTATCATTCCTCCGATTTCAAAGAAATTTCCATATTTTGAATTCAGAATCTTCTTCTATCTCAAGCAAAATCATAGCCTTCTCAGTAGTCTTTAAAGACATCAAACTAATGGTTTTGTCTATCCAGTCTCTTAACTAAAATACGAACTACAACTTCAACACCCATACTTGCAGATTTTTAACTAGTAATTTCCCTCTGTAAATTATTCATTCTTCTGGATAGCCATTACCTATTTTTTCTTTCTTGAAGTCTATCCACTCATATATTCATATATTATGTGACACTCCTATGATGTTGTTAATGAAAATCAGGGAGATGTTCTAGACAAAAAGCTGTACATGGGGCAGAAAAAGTAATATGACATAGTCTACTTCTAATAGATGTTAATATTGTACATGTTAGTGCTTTAGCATTAATAAAAATATTGCATCATGAGCCTCTTATTAAAATTCTAAGTATTGGTAACATCTTCATTTGAAAGAAATCAATGGTCTTGCCAGTGATATCACTGAAAGTTGTTGTACTGTTCAAAGATACTGAGACCCTATCCTCAATATACAAATTTGAATTATTTCTTCTTTATATGGGTCCAATATATTAAAAAAAAAATCAATCTGTAATACATTTTTAAAGTTATTTGTAATTGCAGAATTCTTCTCATATCTCAAAATTTATTGTGACACAAGAATGAGAAATAAACTTGGTAAGACAACACTGCATATTTAAAATGCAAGCTGTAAAATGATAATGGACAAGCAACACCCTTTAGCTCCAGCTAACGTACGGTCCACATGTCATGTTATGTATTCTTTTTTTAAACTTGACTTTCACAGTTTGACACCAGCTTACCTGGATGTCAAATTAAATTAGATCAAATAAAAGAAATTTTCCTAAGTAATAATGAGTGGTTCTACTTTTCTACTGTCATTCTATATATATGTAAAATATCTAAGTATTTACAATCCAAAAAATTTACTGGCTTGCTTTCTTATTTTGTTGGTTAGTTGGTTTATTATGTCACAGCTGAAATTATGCAGAATTAATAGCAAGGCAAGTTGTGAATTTTTTCACATGCCTAGAACTGAAGAGCTGTAAGGATTTCAAGTTTGTAAGAAGGTACTTCAACAATATGTTGCAATGTGGAAAGTATTTTAACTAAAAAATGCGTTTTACTACCTATTAGTAATTTAACAAGAAATCTCAATATGGATTTTCATAGGAAGAATTTAAATGAATAAGTTTATAATCTGCAAGACACCTTATGCTTTAAGGATGAAAACAGAGGCATTTGAATTCACTCATGATGAAGTAATCTTCTCTCTGTCTGACAGTGAGTCATTTTCAGTTCAAGGCACAACTTGGAAGCTGGGAGCTAATAAGGAAAACTGGAAGTTTCTGTGAACAACTACTTTTCTGATCCGTAGTTTAAGAACACAGCAAGGGAAATGCACACAGCTGTGCTTCTTAAAAACTATAGAGTTTGTAATGTTCTAAACATGATATGTGCTTTTTCTGGGCATATGCATTCTATAGGAAATGATGTTAAAGCAGGATTCCTCCTTGTTAGCTCAGTGTCAGATTATCAGCTTAAGAAAGCCACAAAACTAAAAAATCTCATGTTCACTTTAAGAATACAGAATGCAATAGTAGTATGGCATGAACAAGTTACAGACAGAAATCACAGAATCATAGAATCCTATAATGGCCTGAGTTGAAAAGGATCTCAAAGATCATCTAATTTCAACTTCCTCCTGCAGGGTTGCCAAGCACTAGACCAGGCTGGCCAGAGACACAGTCATCTTAACATTTTGTTAATTGTTTGACTTAGGCAGAAAGCTTATATAAATAAGATATTCAAGGTCATTACTGTACACAAGGACATTCTTTTCAACAGTGATGTTGGATTATTAACATGTGTTTCTGAGTCCTCTAATATTGTGCAACAGGATAAACAAAATGCATGCAGAGTTACTGGGAATCTAAAAATTTCCTTTGCCTAAAAGAAATCAAATCTTGCATTCTACTGGAGCTCAGTATCTGAAGAAAATATATAAACTAGAATTGTTATATAGTTTATAGATTTGTGTTTCAGAGAGGGCAGAAATATACAAATGTATACATGGCATTTTTATAATTGAAAGTCTGTAAAACCTCATCTGTATCTATGAAAATAAAGGAAGGACAAATACCACAGAATTCCTTGGCACAATACTATTACTTCAGCAGTTTATATATTTTTAACAGTGGAATAATAACCATTGCAAATCCCTCAGGCAGTGTTTAGTTGTTTGTTTTTAATTTGTTTGTTCCTGTTTCAAAAGTCCTCAAGTATTCTTGATCTAAGTAATTTCATATTTTTGTCTAATAGAGCAGAACCGATGGAAATTCATAAATTTTATAAAAATTTTATTTGTGAAATATCCGTAAGAAGCACATACTAGAATGTGGGAGAATTGGTATTATACAGAAAATTATACAGAAAAATAAATGACCACAAAAAAAGAAATGGGGGGGGAAAAAAAATATACTGATCAGTGCAGAAATGACAGCCACTAATATGAAAGCTTTTGAAAGATGAATATTGAATGTACTGTAGCAGTCTTCAACACAAGCTGGGTGCCTCTATGGAAAATATGTTTGTCTAAATAAGTTATTGGATTCAAACAGGTGTAAGTCTTTTGATATATACAAAGTCAAAAAAGATGATCTAATAGACCCTCTGACCTCTATGAAGAAATAATTAAAAAAATTATGATTTTTTTTTTTTTAATGACCAAACTCAGTCATTTAAATGCAACAAATACTCTAAGAATAAAAAGAATACGCTTCAAGGTCTCATCTTCCCCTGTTTTATACAAATGCATGTATATTCTGAAGGCTAAATTCTCTATAGTTTGATAATTATGCCTGGGAAAATGTTGAATCTTTGTAGCTTTGTTCATGAGTCATAGAATTGCAAGGTTGAAAATGACCTGCAAGATCATCTAGTCCAACTGCCCTCTTGTTACCATTGCTATACAACCTATTAAACCATATCTCGAAGCTCCTCATCCAGGCACCTCTTGAACACTGCCAGGGATGGCCTCCACCACCTCCCTGGGCAGGCCACAGTAGTGCCTGACCACTCTCTGAGAAAGAAAGTTCTTCCTTATGTCTAACCTAAACCTCCTCTGCTACAACTTGTGGCCATTTCCTGAAAGACCAGAAAGTGTTATTTCATGTAAGTAAATGAATACAAATTCCCAAAGTATGTTTCTAATGATTCAGAAATACATGCATCTACTAACTTCTCAAATCTACCAAAATCTATTGCAATAAAGCATATTTTTGCAAAACAAGAAAACAAAGAAAAAACATACAATTAATTCACTGACAATAATGTAAGCAATGAGTTAAAGAAAATTTTATTCCCTTCAAAACTGTCATGTTTATAGCAGTAATCCAAATAATGTGGAGTGATATTGTTCTTTTTAATCAAATACTCTTTTCCTTTTTTTGAATCAAAACTGTTTCAAGGAAGTCTTACACTTATTGTCAAGATGAACAGAAGTATTTCTCTAAAATGTCTCTATTCATCATAATACATAGATTTTGATCTTGTAAAAGGAATTTGTAAACAAATGATCTTTCAGATGTGTCATTTCTTATTTTACAGTAGGTTATTTGCACATAGAATGCTCAGAAAAAATCTTCTTTTCAAGACACCATCCCAGAAATATAAATTTAAAAGCAGTTTTGAGGACAAGACGCTTCACTTTTACAGACAGTATTGTATCTTAACTTCGTTTCTCCTCATACTGCGATGGTCCTATGTGTTAACAGTAATTTTCAGAAATTTTGAGTATTTATCTAAAGCTTTACAGAAAGTATTTTGTAACATCCATTCAAGCATGTTTTTCTCATTCATCACGTGCATCACAGTAATCCTTTGCTGTGCAGAGTTCTTGGTTCCACTGTGTTGAATATTGAAGTTCTATTAGTCCTTTCTGTTTTCTGAATAAAATTACAAAGGCTCTTCTCTGAAAGTAACACATCCTATTTCAACATGCTGGCCCACAACATCAGAGATGGGTGTTGGTGGTATGGCAGTAGAGGTTGAACCTTCCTGCTAATATTCCCTTACGTTTTGATGTTGTGTGTCAGATGGTAGCAGAGGGACAGTCTGACAAAACGGCATCTGATGTGGAAGTGTACATGAAGCAAAGGTGTGTCATTGAATTCCTCCATGAGGACAAAAATGGCGTTCATTTGTTGATGCTTGCTGAAGATTTATGGAGACAAACAGTGGGTATGAACACAGTGAGGCAGTGGGTGATACGTTTCAGCAGTGATGACTAAGATGTGAAAGACAAGCCATGTTCTGGATGGCTAAGCACAACTGTCATACCATGAAATTATGAGGTCTTGTTTATCACTGTCAAAAATGCTTAGCTAATGGTAGTGGCTATGTTGAAATACATTGTTTTATAGCTGAGAATTTGCTCTATCAAACAGTATTGTTGTACTCTTTGTATCTGTTGTAATTTCCTTGGAAATAAATAGGAGGTATTATTTTTAGAGACCTACACACTAACAAAAAAGATAATACTGAAAGATAAAATACTTCACAGCACTGAAGTTTGTAATGGGAAAAATCTAAAATACAATCCCTTTATCTACTGATTGTGTTTACCTTTCAGTTCGGCAACATAAGCATAACTGCTAGGGCTTTCATTTGACTTTCAGCGTCTGATACAATATCTGGATAGAGTTGTAAGTACTGCACATCCATTTATTTGTTTTTCTTCTCTGGAAACTGAATTAATTTTCACTAACACTACTTTAGCAGACTGATCAGGTGAATAGTATTCCTCTTCAGTTCCTCTGTCTTGAAAATTTTGCTTAGCCTTTTCTACTGCTTGTATGAACTGACCTAATATTTGCTGAATTTCAACTGACAAACAAATAAAATGAACTTTGAAATGTAGAACATTTAGCAACGAAAGACTACTTATTGGGCAGAAGTTATTTAATACAATTGAAAAAGATGAGGATACAAAAATTGTGTTTATCTATTTCTGGTGTAGCTAAATGCTTTTTATTGTCTCTTATTCAAATGTTCTATTTGACTATATGCAGACAGCACATTACAAAAGTTTGTTATGTTATAGAATTGGAAACTGAAAGTAAAAGAAAACAAAATCTTTAAACTTCTTTTAAAGTTCCCATCTTGAGCTCAAGGGCATCCTGGGGTGATGACAAATCTGCTGCCACCAGTATAAATTATGACAACTATAAATTATATCACCTGGCTACACTTTTTTCACACATCTCATTGACTGCAGGTTCATTAGAGAATGTCAGTTTCACATGAATTTTACATGAGTGAATTCTCAGCTAGTTAATTACAACTTTAATCTAGATCTGTATATTCTTAAGCAACAAAGGAATGCTTTGCTCCAAACACTTTGAAACATAAAAGCAGCATCGTAAACTTATTACAGCTAGCAGTTCAGCTCAGCCTAATCAGCCTTTCAGGAAGATTACTAAGAGAGAAAGGTAAGATGACAGAAAGAAGCTTTCTGAGACCTATCTTCATGAATTACATTGCTCATTGAACAAAATCAAATATTCTGAATGAAATACTTGAAAAGTATAAATTCAGAAATTCCTGTATGTCTGAAGTCAGAGTTAGGAAAATTTTGCTTCCTCAGAATTGTTGCCAGCACAGATTATGAAAAAACAGAAGTGAAGATGTTCCTATGTGAAATGGCTTTATCAGTTAGAGGACAAAGATGTCATCAGAATTTGTAAATACAAATAAGAATGGAACGATGCAAAGGTTTTTCTTCTGTTTTGAAATCAGTCAGATTTAGATAACTGAAATTTAAAAATGCTTATTTTGAAAACACATGTACGTGTATCTGGGACTGCCCTTTCCCAAGTGCAACACCTTGCACTTGGCCTTCTGAATCTCATTAGCTTCATGTGGACCCACTTCTCGAGGTCCCCTTGGATGGCATTCCTTCCATTGTATTGGCATAAGAAATCAAACTCTATAACCACAAAGTAGTTATAAAGCAGGTACGGTTTATTCAATGTTGTGCAGATACCAGGTGCAAGGGGGATAGAGCTGCTTAGCTTGCACACCATCAGGAAAAATCATACTACAGATATACAAATACATAATCAATAGTTTTCCCTGAATTTGGTTACATATTCATTACACCCCCGAGAGTTAATTAGCATGCAGACCCTCCCCTCTTGCATGTGCGTAGTGGGTCATGGGATGAAGATTTGTCATCTTCCTCACAAAGGCTTCTGACCTTTTTTGATGTAAACTTCTGACCTTTTAGGGTAGCATACCCCCCCCAGACCAATTTCAAACTTCTTGCCCTGTGGACATCTGATCACCTCCCTGCCAAATTTCCTAGAGCTGCTCTCAAGCCCTTATCTTTATGGCCTTCATCCCCCTCACTATCCCAGACCCGATGTCTGTCATCCCTTATTTTCTAACAAGCTCTACATTCTCGCTTCTATAAGCGATCTCTAACTATTCCCCTTCACCCCCCCTCCCCCTTATTCTCAGTCACTGTGAAGCCTTCTTGCCTTTTTACTTTCATTTATGGGGCCATCTCACCTTTCAGTATCAACTGCAACACACATCTTCGTATCATCATAAACTTGCTGAGGGTGTCCTCAATCTCTGTCTAGGTTACTGTTGAAGATGTTGAAGAGCACTGGGCCCAAGATGGACCACTGGTGGATACCATTTTTCACCAGCCTCAACCTGGACACAGGTTGGCTGACTACAACACTGGCTGCAACAATTCAATCAATGCATTACCTACTGTATACGCCACTCTTTTAAATTCATATATTTCCAATTTAGATATAAAAGTTATTGAATCAGATTAAAAGAAAATGCTGGTTTTTGTTTTTGTTGTTGTTTTTGTTGGTTTTTTTTCCTTAGAACAAAAACTCCAGCTCGCATAACTCTTGCAATCTGCCTATCGCACATTAATCTCTGTAATTCACTTATGGATCCTTTGAAAGCTAACACAATACTCATATGTAATGGTGTACTAATATACATTACAAAGTGTATGTACTGCTTAGAAATAAATAATAATAAAAAAACAGCATCAAAATCCACTCTTAAGAATATTTACCATGCACCTTGTTTGGAAGGCGAAAAAAATGAACTAAAGAAGAAACAACCTATTTGATGTTTTTCAGTCTGTTTAGTATGGAAATTAATCACTAGCAAGAATGAAGGCACATCTGAGTCAGAGGAACAAAAAGCAAAAGCCAAAAAAAACACAAAACCATATATAATGTTGAAAACTTCATTACAAGTCAAGTCATTCTTACTGTTCCTAAATCAAACCTAAAAAAAGTGAACAGGAAATATTAATTTGCTAATCTCAACAATAAGACTGAAACAGTGAATGTTCTGATTACATTGCTTTGGTAAATTAATTCAGTGTTACCTCTGGCTTAAAGAATCATAGAATGCCCTGGATTGAAAAAGACCTCAATGATCATCTAGCTTCAACTTCCCCACCATGGGGAGCCACTTGATTGGAGTGTCCGGAGCCACATCCAGCCTTGAACAATCTCAGCTCCCTCAACCACTCCTCATCAGGCCTGTGCTCCAGATCACCAGCTTAGTTGTCCTTCTCACAACTCAAGGGCCTCAATGTCTTTCTTGTGATGGGGAAAACCCATAAAGTACTTCACACAAAAGTCTACAGGTCAATTTTAGCTCAGAAGTAAGAACAAAATAGGCAGAAAAATGGGATTCATGCAGGCAAGCCTCCACATATTACTGCAATTTTTTCTTCACAGTACCAATCTTAAAAAGTTAAAAACAACTCTAATTAGTCTGGTTATTCTCTCAGAAAATAGCACCTCTTAGCATAGCAGCCATACTGGTTCAGACCAATAGGATCACATAGTCCAATAAGTAAAAAAAAACAAAAAGAAAGAACACCTGATACTAAATTCAGTTTAAACACATTCCAAACAAAATAAAAAATGGAAGAAAAAGAACTTTTTTTCTCTTTGAAACCCATTCCAAATGAAGAAATAATTATATTTGCAGATTATCTGATTTGAATCTTTTTTCAAAGGATTCAAGGGGATTCTTTCCTTACTTATTTTTCATAATTGTCATTATCAAGCTGGAAAAAGATTAAAAAAAAAAATATCTACATTTACTTTAATTCTCTGCCTTAATATCAGAATTTTACTTACCTCCAAATACTTGGACAGTTGTCTACAAATACTTCCTTTTAACTTATACATAACTATATTTAAAAAAAAATCACAAATGCACAAGAATGTTTTCTGGAAATACTTCCAAAGTAAACACTGTGTATACTTATTCTGAAAAAGCAGCTTCTTCTGTTCTTTGCAATACCTGTACAAGTGTTACAATTTTCATATGCCAGTTGTTGTCAGCCTAATTCAGAGCTCATTCTTGAAGACCGCTCTATTTAGTTAGTCCACGTAGTCTATTTAGTAGTCCACACAGAACTGTCTAGTAATGTTTGAAATGGTACAGGCAGTTTTCCCTGTCCTCTGTCTGCTGCTTCAAGAGAGTATCAGTAATGATCCTTGTGACATACCCATTATTCCACACAAACGACTCTGTCCCCTGGGATGTTTCATATTGCATTGGCTGTGTGCTTTTAGGGAACTCCGTTTTATTTGTTTAGTAAGGTTTTAAATACTCTATGTGGATCCAAGATCTATCTAAACAAATTCTGCATGTCAATAGAACTCACAGAATGACAGAATTGTAGGGGCTGGAAGGGACCTCTAGAGATCATTTAGTCCAATCCCCCTAACAAAGCACGCTCCCTAGACCAGGTTGCACAGGTAGGCAACCAGACGGGTCTTGAATATCTCCTAGGAGGAGACTCCATAGTCCCTCTGAACAGCCTGTTCCAGTGCTCCGTTACTCTTATTGTGACATGTATCACAGAAACTGTGCAGAACCTCTGCATGATGATGGTATATAACACTAGTTGTCCACTAGCCAACAATACATCATTTTACTGGAAATAACATACATAAATAAAAGTATTTTTTCAAATAACAGAATTGTTTGAGTTGAAAGAAATCTTTAAAGGTCACTTAGTCCAACTCCCACAGTGAATAGGGGCACCTACAGCTGTATGAGGCTGCTCAGAGCACCGTCCAATCTGATGTTGAATGTCTCCAGAAACATGGCATCAACCACTTCCCTGGGTAACCTCTTCCATTACCATACTACCCTTTCTGTATATTCAATCTAAACCTTACTTCTTTTAGTTTGAAACCATTTCCCCTTGTCTTATCCTCACAGATCCTGCTAAAGAGTCTGTCCCCTTCTTTCTTATAGTCTCTTTTTACATATAAAAAGTCACTATTAGGTCTTCTTTTCTCCAAGCTGAAGCGTTCCAGGTTTCTCAACCTGTCCTCATGAGGGACGTGTTCCATCCCTTGAATCATTTTTGTGGCCCTCTTCTGGACACTTTCCAGCATATCCATGTCTCTCCTGAGGAGTTCACAGTACTTCAGATGAATTCTCATTGGCACAGAATAGAGGAGCAGGATCACCTCCCTTGACCTGCTGACCACGCTTCTTTTGATGCAGCCCAAATGACTGGTTATTCATGACTGGTATTCATGACTGGTTTTCTGGACTGTGAGGGCACATTGGTGGCTCAGGTCCAGCTTGCCATCCACAAGTACCCCTATGTCCTTTTCATCAGGGCTTTGCTCTACCCTTATTCCAGCTTGTAATGATAGCAGATGTGGCCACACTCAGGTGCATGACATGAAACTTGGCATTGCCAAACCTCAAGAGGCTCACTTGAGTGCAATGTTGATTCTGTCTAGGTCTTTCTGGATGGCATCCTGTCTCTCAAGTGTGTCAAATTCATCACATTGCTTGGTGTCAGCCACAAACTTGCTGAGGGTGCACTTGATCTCCCTGTCAGTGTCACTGAAGAAGTTATTAAACAGCACTGGTGCCAGCAGTAACCCCTGAGTAACCACTCATCATTGATCTCCATCTGGATGTTTTGCTACTGACCACCACTCTTATGATCTCGCAACGAGTTCCTCATCCACTGAACAGCCCACCAATCAAATCCATACATTTCCAATTTGGAGAGAAGGATGTTGTGAAGGACCATGTCAAAGGTCTTACTGAAGTTCAGATAGATGACATCAGCAGCTTTTCCCTTGTTCATTGATGCAGTGACACCATCATAGAAGGCCACTAAGTCAGGCAGGATTTTCCTTTGGTGAAGCAATGCTAGTTGATCTGAATCAGTTCTTCATCTTCCATATGCCTTAGCATAACTTCCAGGAGGATCTACTCCATGATCTTCTCCAGCATTGTCTCACTCCAGTTTATAGCAGGGAGAGGAGGTTCTCTGATATCACAGAATGATAGAATCAGAAGGTTGGAAACAACCTAAACGATCATCTAATCCAACCGTCTCCTCATCGCCATTGTCACCACAAGCACTAAACCACATCACGCAGCACGTCATCCAGACGCCTCTTGAACACTGCCAGGGACGGCGATTCCATCACCTCCCTGGGCAGCCATTCCAGTGCCTGACCACTCTCTGAGAGAAAAAGCTCTTCCTTATGTCTAATCTATTGTGGCCATCTGTATAGCCGGTGTGAGATTAAGAAACAGTGGTTTAAGTGTTGGTCCAACCAGTCTATTACAAATCCTAATCAAGGAGATGGGGAAGAGAAGGAATGACTATTATGAAATAGGGTGATGAGGAAGGGAAGGATGGTAATAGAAAAGATAGGAAATAAGCAAGAATTGTGTAAAGTGGGGATAGTCACCACCAGGATCTAGTAGTGGTCCCACTGCACGCCGCCCCAAAGGTCTGAGGCAAAAGCACGGGGGAGAGCAGCAGTAGCATGGCTGACTGTATGGCAAGCATATAGCAGGAAGAAGCCTTAGGGTAAGCCCAGGAGAAAGCAGCAGGTCTCAGGTAGCAGGCCCAGGAGATTCCGTCAGCATGCAGGAATTCCGTAGTGAGGGATCTGATGGCAGGCACCTATCCTCATGGTTGTTGATCCCTCTTTTATCCTCCTTTTTTCCTGACTATGTGACATCCCTGGGTGCTTGAGCAAGTGTCATGTGAGCACCCCCTGAGATGGCCATCTTCCTTGAGATAAGTCCGCACAAAAGGCCACTTCACAACCATTAAGCTGTGGCTTATCTCTCCTTCGTTGTCCTAGCCTTGTTCATCTGTGTCCCTCAGACAAAGGATTTCTCAACCCTTGCCCAGGACTTGCTTGGGCTTGTTCATCAGCAAGCTTTGAGGCAATGGCATAAAAGAATAATCTCTCACAAGCATAGAGGAGAGACTGAATGCGTCCCTGGGTCATTCTTTTTGTCCTTCTTAAAAACAATTGTGACATTGCCTTTTTTTAGTCACCAGAGACTTTACCTTCTCAATACGATTGAGAGTGTTTTGATGACTACGTTAGTTGATTCTCTCAGAAATCTGGGATGCATGGATGTTCAGGTGACTGGGCTGGTAGTGAACTTGATTTACGCTTGGTAGATAAGAAGCTGGACATAAGCAAGCAGTGTGCACTAGCAGCCTGAAAGGCCAACTATATCTTGGGCTGCATTAAAAAAGGGGTGGCCAGTAGGAAGAGGGAGGTGATTGTCCCCCTCAACTCAGCTCTTGTGAGGCCCCATCTGGAATATTGTGTCGAGGCCTGGGGCGCCTAGCACAAGAAAGACACAGAGCTCTTGTAATGAGTCCTAAGGAGGACCACTAAGATGATCAGAGGGCTGGAGCACTTCTCCTGTGAGGAAGGATTGAAGGAGTTGAGCTTACATAGCTTGGAAAAGAGAAGGCTCTGGGGAGACATCATTGCGGCCTTCCAGTGCTCAAAGGGAGTGTATCAACAGGAGGCAGAACAGCTATTTACATGGGTTGATAGTGATAGGACAACAGAGAATGGTTTTAAACTGAGACAAGGCAGGTTTAGTTTAGTTATTAGAAGGAATTTTTCCCAGAGAGTGGTGACACGCTGGAACATGTTGCCGAGAGAGGCTGTGGATGCCCCATCCCTGGAGGCATTCAAGGCCAGGCTGGATGTGGCTCTGGGC